AGAGTGCACGTACAGTTGCATTGGTTGTGTTTTTAAAGGGCTATCAGCTCTCCTCGACAGTGATTGCAACAATTGAAAGTTACATCTTCGTATCTTGTATATGGGTGAAACCTTCCAATACTCTTTTTTGTGGAAAGGAAGGAAGATGGAGAAGTCTCAGAAAAAGAAACTTCTGTTGATGTTTCTGTACGTGCAGCTGGATCCAGTACACGTAGCACCTAAGGATGGAAAAGTTGAGAATGAAAATGTATCTACTAAGTTTAATGGAGTCTGTCTTTCTCTAACAGCTAGGAAGGACTTCCGCTCAAAAGCAAGGTTTTTTTCAAGTTGAAAACTAAATATCCATCTATCCAGACCCTCAACGTAAAGACATTAAGTACTGTTTATAAATTAGTAATGTCCATCAGAAATCCAAGGTATGATCTTATTGAGAATAAAAAAAAATCTAATCTTTTTAGCAGAGTTGAGCAAAACCAGGCAACACAGATAATTAGGCACTGTGAGCCTCCTGCTGCTCAACGCAATGCAACTGCTTCCAGACTAAACTGTTCATCTAGTTTGCTATTTAAACATCAAGCTTCCTGCAGTGAAACTTTATCTTGAAAGATAATCATACAGCTTCTCTCTGTGTTTCCACCCACTTTCAACAAAACCAATTTTCAGGACAACAGAAACTACTGAAGTGTTATGACTTATTCCTACTCAAACTAGGTTTCTTCTCCCACTCAGTTTTTAAAGTCAATTAAGTATTTTCAGTTGGCTTCCTCCTGACACACTAAACAAATTTTAACCCAGTTATTTGTCCTGCTAGAGACAGAGAAGGAAACATATGTATCATCCTATTGTTTATGTTGTTCTGCTTATTCTTCCAGGTTGTTGTTTGTTTTGTGTAGGTTTTGTTTTGTTTTGTTTGAGAGGTTAGGTTTTCTTTTTTTTCTTTTTTTAAATGAAACAGCTCTATTCAGCATGTTTCCCCTGCATATAGTTTTTAAAAAAGGCATGATACTAAGTAGTT